GTGTATCCTAAAGAGAAAAAAACGGATAACGACGACTGAGGTATCAAAAAATAATGATTAAAGAATCTTTGTCGCTGATCTCACCAAGACACGCATTTTTGATAGTTCTAAGCATGCATGCAATACAACATTCCCACAGATCTCACGCACACATATATTGTTTCACAGCTATAGTAAGACCTACTCCTATAGTTGAACAAAATTACAAAAGGCGTGAATGTATCCTAATGTAATGTTAATTATGTGCATTAATCTCATGGGGAAATCCCCGGTACCCCTGTGTGTCATCACTTATGCTAGACATAATCATTCATTTGTCATCGTTGAACTACCCCAGTCTTGTAGGGCTGGGCTGAGTTCAGCTGTTCTCTCAATTGCCCTGCATCGGCATCTACACTTGCAGATTTATGAGCACCAAGGCGCGTGGTAATTTTTGCAGATGACATTAGAGAGGGTCCTTGGTCACAGTCCATGAAACCACATTCATTACAACTGAGAGAAACAAACTGTTTGTTTTTTCTTAATGCTATTTCTGCATCGGGCAGGTTTTACCAATAACAAACACTGCGAGCAAAACGCAATTATGGACTGAAATGTTCCTGTTAAATCTTCCGTGTTTAATCATTAATTTTTCTTTCACATTATTTCGGGATGTAATATGTTTTGCTGGTCCTGACTGAGTTACTGACTGACTGACTGACCGACCGACTGACAGACAGACTGCTACTTGTGAAGTTAACTGGTTGTAGACTGTCAAAGAGAGCCGGGCAGTTCTGTCGTATAGGATTACTCCGTAATGTCAACGAATGGGCTTCATCTGGCCCATTGCGTAACCCAGATGCATAAAAGACTTCCATTATGAATCAATCTAATAGAATTTTGGGCGCTCTGCACAACCTATAGTTTCTTTAGGTGCCTATCTCACTGACTGAGTCACTTAGACTAATCTGGAACCAGCTTTTGTTTTTTTAGAAGCATTGTGTTTGCCTCAATCCCCATATTACCACTGGAAGTCCCCTGCCTTTCCCAAGGTTTCTGAGATCATCACACAGTGGAACTTAAGATTTACTCCACGGACCTCGCTCTCGAACCGAGAGTGGTTCTTAATGTCAAAGTGCTAAAGGTGTAGGGCGATCAAGTGCTTCGTTTACCGGATGCAGTGCGGGTGAGAGCGACATGCAATACTAAGAGAAGGCTATCAGCAAATGCACCTGTTCGTGTACCTGTTCGAAAACCGTCACTGACCTATGAGCCTAAGGGTCGTGGGACATCTCTACAGTTTTGGCTGTGATACGTTAACGCAAAAGCGACATTGTTTCTGTTGTGATAACTGGAAATGTCTGAAAAGTGACACAGCTTGTGACGTTTAACAAAGATTGTTTCCTCTTATTTGAACTCTTTGAAAATCAAAATTCTATCCTTGTAATTAAATGACTATTTCGATGTTTTACGAAAAGTAACAGTTCTGTAGCCTTTTTGGATGAAAACCTTGTTGGAAAGGCTAGCATTTATGTCTGTGTTCTGATAACAACTGACGCAAATAAGATTCCAAAATTGAAGAAATTATATGTTGACAGTGCGCACCCGAAGGCAAAAATACGACGTGTAAAATCTTGAATTGTGGCAATTATGCTCTTTCAATGGTTTCTCATATTGCTTCCAGACTTAGGTGTGACATTTTGAGTAACTTCACAATAATTATCTTGCTATGAAAGACTGATCAAAGCAATAACAGAGAACGAAATGGGATCGCAGAAAATGTCAGAGTTTACAACACAAAAATACCACCATTATGATACAGGTGTAAGTAAACAAAAAGAGACGCTGCCACATTTCCAAATGCTAGAAAATAACAAACCATTTGAAATATAGGTATCGTGCAGTAAGCTTGCTTGATTCTTATTACGTCAAACACGGCTTAGATGTCAAGAGTACGTTCCAAAGTAAAGATAATGCCTTCTTATAGTCACAGAAATCGTAACATCCTTTAAAAACACAAAATGTACAACGACAAATGTACAAAACTTGATAAAGTGTAGATACATTTTCCCAACGAGGCAACATGGTAGACGCTTACCTTCACATATAACTGCTCCCCAAACTCATTCCTTAATGGACAATTAGATGAATGCCTGGCTCCCATACGTATATATTTATATCTTTGTTAAGCGACACTGCCTTTGCATTCGGATGTACTTTTTGTCTGAATATTTCATGATTACCTCTTTTTAATTACAGTCCACGAGAGTTTTAGCTCGGATAGACTTAGAGATTATTTTTTGAAGTGTATGTTTTTCATTACTTATCGAAAAATGCGTCATTCCACGTGGTTTCTGCTATTTAAGGGGAACATTTTCTTGTCCTGTTGAGTCTTACGAAAAAGTACATGGAGTAATCCAAGATTTGTTGTTAATAAATCAAACCGTTACTCGTACTTCCATATGGTACTTCCACTGTGTTTTATGTTCGGGAGCCTTGGAACCTCTTATATCCGAATATGTCATCTAAAGAGTAAGTCAATATTTGTGTTTTTTGTATTTTTGGTTTCCAACTATCCTGCTATATAACCTAAAGAGAAAATAAATCTTTCCTGTTTTGTTCCGACCATTGTAGTTGTCGCTTCAAAAGATGTGTACTCGAGTGATGTGTACTCGGTTAATTACACGTAAACATTTACACATATTTATGTTATATCGGAGCCGGAAATTAACCAAATCACCGTCGTATAAAAACAGTGACATGACTCTCTAGAGCGAGTTTCGTTATGGTGATAAAAACACAAATACTGATGATAATTAATGTTTCGATAAAGCACATATCCACCAAACTGTTTTTACGCGCTTTACATATTGGCCTACATGTTTATAAAAGATGAAATGAAACCATATGGGATCCGTGCACATGTACCCCCTCAACGGTAAGAAGAGGGAGAGTTGGGAAGTCCACCGGGGAAACATTCGAACGCACTGCCGACGACACCTGTTGCACCCACGAAGATGCTATGCTTTGTGCACATTCAGAATAAAATAAGTCGTGCGTATTCCATGCTATACGCGCGCGAACCAGTGCGCACAGGCAGTGTGTCCCATCCAGGGGGCTCTCGATAGTGGTAAAAAAGCGCCCTCTCTTGGTCGCGCACGGAGTCCATAAAAACAGCATTAAAGAGCATTTAATTGATGTTTGGAAACGTGTTAAAGGCAGAGGCGATATTTTAAAAATGTTGAGTTTTACAGAGGTTTTTTTTATTGTATATGTATAAACAAATGTGAAAATTAAGTTTGAAAAGTTTTTTCTTCATAGCATTCTTATAGTAGGACAAAACCATTTGTTATTATATTTTGTAAGGATAATTGGTAGCGTGAAATCACCTGATTTCATTTTAAAAGTAAATAGAATATGCAAGCTTAGTGAAGCTGGTCTCAGCGCGCAAATTTGGATTCAGACGGCTATTCACTGGAAGTCTTTTATTGAATGTGATCTACACCGTGGGTCAAATTTAGACCGCACTGCACGAGATAATCACAATTGCCCAGCCCTCACTACCATGCAGTCTACAACCAGTCTAAGTCATGAAAGTAATTAGTCAGTCAGTCAGTTCGATAGGTACAAAGAGCACGTTGCTGGTCTCACTGGACCAGCCCAGAACTCCAGTGTGAAATAAACACAATGAAGTATTTTTTTAACCGTGTTTTTTTAAATAGTTCAATAATGGTAATACAGGGTGAGTCAAAAAAAGCGGAACCCAAACCCCCAAAAATATATTTCATATTTAAAAAAAATATGTAGCACCAAAATTAATACTGACTGGAAAGCCAATTTCAAAAGCATGAAAAAAATACTGAAATTGCTCAATCCGTTCAAAGAATATCACCATTTAAACGCAATGACCGTAAAACCTGTCTCGTCCAAAAAAATAAATTTATTGTGTGTTTTGACTGTTTGGAACAACAAAGAAAATGACACAGAATACTTGTTTCAACAACAGTCACCAACTGTAGCACACAATATTTTGATTAACAACCCTGGTTAGGCAAACAATATGATTTATAAAATCTACATTTTTAAAAGACGGGCCTTCAAAAGGACTTTGTTGCATACTGTTAACGTTTAAAGTAAGATTTAGTTGCTGGTGATGTTTGAAGACAGTTGTGACGACGATTGTTGAAATCGCATTTTTTGGACGAGACAGGTTTTAGGGTCATTGTGTTTAAATGGTGATACTTTTTGAATGGATTGACCAATTTCAGTAATTTTTTTCATCCCAAAGTAGCTTATGAAATTGGCTTTCCAGTCTTTATTATTTTTGGTGCTACATATTTTTTTAAATATGAAATATAATTTTGGGGTTTGGGTTCTGCTTTTTTTGACTCACCCTGTACATGTAATTGATGGAACACTGCGGTGTTTTGGGTTTTTTTTTCTTCTTTTTTTGCTCTCTACTATGACCAAATTTCCATGAGCCACATCTTGACCAGCAGCATATTGTGATGCAAAAGCCAAAGGAGACATCCATGGAGTTGCATCTCATAATTTCAAATTAATGATAACGTAAATAAAGCTTAAGGAAGCAAACTCCCAAACCAATTGAAAACATAAGTCAAGAAAACAGTTATTTGTATCTGGTCTGATTATAATGCCTTGCATGTTTTTTTACACTTTACGATCCGTCTTTTAGCGGCTAGGGTGAAGATACACAAGTCCATTTTAAATAGTTGACGTATTTGACGCCTTTTTGTGACGACGTAATTTTACAGAAGTATACAGCACCTGTTTCCTGCAATTAAGACCAACTGTGTAACATAATGCACAATCTCTGGAAACGTCATGTAAGTCAACATACATGGTATGAGCAATACGCTGTTATACTAAGTAGTGCATGCAATCAGTATCGTTATATGGGTCCCGCGTGTGAACATGTAGAACAAGTTCAAACAAAAAACCCAATAACCTAGATCTGTCAAGACACTAGGCTTAATAACTAAAATTGTAACGAGACTCACCTTTTTCCGGAAAGACTTGTACCACTGGTAGACTATTGCTGGAACCGTAGCAGTATCTAACCATAAACTAGTTATTTTGTAAGACGAACTAACACAAGCGCCTGCGCCAAGGTTCTAACTTTAGTGGTGCCGACAGATTGAAGCTCCTCCAATTTATACTAATGACTTCCAGCAAAAACAAAGAAAGCAGTGCCAACTACGATCAATGATCCTCAAGTTTCCCTGGGATGAAGATGCGTCACTGCTGCGGCGATCCCCGAGGATTTTGACTTTTTTCCCCCGCCCCAGCCTGCAGACCGCCGCAGGATAGTGAGTTCTCCTTGGCCAGTGAGTTCGGAGCTGGAAATCACTGCTAGTGGATCACACGTCAGCCTATCGTCTGCGCGCTGTAAGTACGTACGTCTCAACGTGACGCAAATCACATTTTGGCGCCTCTCATTATCATCCTTTTTTCGTGTCTTCCCCCTCCACTCGTTTTTTCTTTCTTGATTAATTTCTCCTGGCAACTGATGGCTGGAAGTATTATTAGCCAGCTCCGCTTCCACGTCGGTCTGTGTAGTTTCTGACTGGTAATCGGTATCCGTGTTTGATCAGATCCGTCCGGGTGACAATTTTTTGCGGGGAAAAACTGTCGCTTCGTTTGAACATCTTTATGGCAAATAATGGAAAAAGGATCCTGCGTGATATTAGAAATATCGGGGCTAGCGGCTCGAGCGATCAAGCTCAAAAATGGATTTTCGTATTTCTTAAATCCCATTCAACTGGTAATTTCTTTTAGTATTTCCGAGATTACCCAACAATGGTGCCGGAAAATTGTGCATTGTACTATTTCAACTTTCAGCTACCAATTATCAAGGTAGCTTCAAATCGTTTCAGTGGCGTCGCTGTAGCCCAATTTGCTGGGCTCACCGAAGTCAGTTTGTTTGTGAGTTTACAATAGCTACTTTATTATAACCAACGTTTTAAAAATGCGGGCAAGGGTGTATTTTTTTTTTAATTGCCACCAGAGGCTGCCGAGGGATAATCTGTGTGAAAGATGCCCCAAGATGCCAGAGAAGAATTTAGACTCGTCTTTAACCGTGATCATGCTCCGGATTCTCTGTTGGTTGAGAGGCGGATCCAGAACTTTTGATATGAGGTGTTGGAGGTTGGAAGACATTTTTCAGGAAGAAAGGTTGGCTAAAGTGTATGAAATTAACGCATACAAGAGACCGTCAGCGTTCAAAATGAACTGTGATTTGCAACACTTTTTATGTTACCCCAGAAAAGAAAATGGAAGAAAAATTTGAATTCGTTTTTTAGAAGAGTGTAAGTAATTAACATTGGTCGGACTGGGGGTGGTAGTTAGCTACCCCACCCCAAACCATCTCTCTCCACAATCCACCCTTGACACCCCTAAACCAAACGTAGACCATGTCTCTGTCTTCATAAAAATTCAGAGGGCCTGAGGTTACGATCTTAACAAGATCTTATTCGGGCAAATGACAAGGTATAGAAACCCACCTCTTGTACCACTGTATTTGCAACTGAAGAAGAAATTGTTAAGATTGGAGAGTCTGGCCCGCTTAATTTTTCTGATTTGTATATTCCATGCCAATCCAGTCAGTAAGCAGTTTCCAGCAGTTTAATTCATTTTCAGAATCTGTAAACTCTGACATATTTACCAAAATAGTGGCACTTGCTGATTTCTGTGAAAGAGCTTCTGCTTCAAAGAACAACACACAAGAACACTCAAAGACTGCTAAAGAAAACATCGGAACTAGATTACTTTTCCCATGACGCTATGGAGCCTAAGGTTAAAAAAATCTCCACTTCTGAAGATTTATCTCAAAGATGATAAGACGTTTTGACATTTTGGAAGTGATAATCCTTTTCATAAAGGCAAGGGATCATATTGTGAACAACAGGTTGAAAATCTTTAAAAAGCACTACCTTTACAGCTGCGATCGTATCAGTAATATAGGTTCCATCAGATTTAGGAGATAGTTGTTCAAAGAGAACAAAACGTAAACACAGAAGAAAAAAACGTTTATCACGAAACATTGAAAGATCCATCACTGTAAAAATGTCAAAGTTGCACAGAATCTGATGACAACAATCCGGAAATCTATCGGTTTCTTATCTTGTGAAAAAAGGTCATGATTCCGTTTAAATAATGATTAAAGAGAGCAAAAAGAAAGAAATGAAAAAAAGGAAGATTACTACTTATCAAAATAGTTCAGACAGTGAGCGCGATTGTTCCAAATGAAATCTGATTTCGGGGAGACAAGTTTAAACACCATATTGACCCTTAAAACACGGAAATGACATTTACATAAAATTCGTATGATAACAGCTTTCGTGCATTTACACACGATAATAAAGAATCCTTTTAGATAATGAAAAAAAGAAAGAAAACAATTAGGAATCCGGCGATTTGTCCAGATTTGCCAGAACTGAAAGGCCACAGGGGCATTGAGTCTTATGTTTCCCAGCCATGTTGTAATCTAAAGAGAGTCCTACGTGCGGCAGTGAATTCCCTGAATCCAAAAGACGGGGTGTATGCGAGGAGACATGCGCGCGGGCCAAAAGTGAATGACCTATTAAATCACATCTTAATCGCCGTGGGATCAGATTCCAAATGTTATATCTGATTTCAAGTATTGTAGGCCGAGAGGCTTTTAGAACTTCATTTTTTCCCCTTCGGCTGCTATTATGATTGCTTCTTTGAGAAAGGAAGTATTGATATTACCAACGGCATTTAACCTTCACGGGTTTTGATTTGTTGTGGTGCTCTTTCCGTAGGTGTGTTTTTCCGATTTGCTGATGACATTTTGTAGACAACCTGACATTTTGCAGATTAAACTGAAGGTGTAAAGACGACTCAAGTGTCATCAATCTGTGCGACAGTTTTTGGTGCTTTTTTTTTTTATAAATGACAATTGGACATCCGGATTCAAGATTCAAGATTTTTATTCGTCACGCAAAAAAAATACATGAGATATGCTCTCCTGTGTGCAATCAATAAAAATTACATATAGTTTCCATACAAATGTTATATTTAGGTAAATAAAGCAAAAGAGACGGTAAAATTTAAATTAAAAATACACACAGAATTACACAAAAAATACACACACAAAATACATACACGAATCAATTAAATTGACAATATCCACTTAATTATGGACTGATTTAAAAATAAAATTCACATTACTGTATAAGACAAGTGAGTTCAATCGCACAACCTAGGCGACCCATAAGACAGCAGAAGGGGTCACAAATGTCACAACTTACAATGGTCCAGTGCTGAATACTACAATATGAGCAAAAGTGATGCATTTAAGGCACGAATCAAGCAAAGATTCATTGGCAATTCGTAAGCCTTTCAAAAATAAGACCGGAAAAAATATCTATGCTTTACCACAAAAGAATATGTATACGTTAATAATCACTAACCTAAAATTGTCCATGCTTTACCACAATAAAAAACATATAGGTGTACATTTATTAACAATAACTTAAATACCAATTTTGAATCAAAAAGGTACTTTTATGAATGACAGCATAATACGGGGAACATCTGTTAAAAATTAACTTGTATGTGACAAACAAAACTTGAGATCTTTCATGTTTGGTACCAATATCTTTTAGCCATGTTGGCTGAGATTGGAGTTTTAATGTTTGTTATTTTTTTAAACAGGTTGTTGGGGGTCCAAGCCCCTTACCCCGTTAGTCCGACACTGGAACACAATATTATAGCCAATTTGTGATTAAAAGCTGTTTACCGACATAGTAACAGAGCTGATGGGAAAAATAATATCCAGCTATTTTATTTTACTTTAAAAATCAATACGATGAGCTTGAAATATATAAGGCCATTCCCTGCAAAACAAATTTGATGAAGTTTCGTCAATTTCCCTGCAATTTTCTACCTTTTTAGAAAAAGTTAGAAAAGAAAAATTATTTTTTTTTTATTTCTGAAAACGAAAGGTTAAGACTTTCAATGATTAGGAGAAAAATAAATCAGCCCCCCCCCCCCAGAAGGTTACTTGTCATTAAGTCTTCTAAAAAAATAGCTGTGCTGAAGTGTCTTTTTTCTCGATATGGTTTTCAAAGGTAAATATAGGGCCTACCTGTATTGGGGGAAATACGCTATAAGTGAAAGTTTCGAACCTTGTATTAAACGTATGATATACATACTCCGAAACTTATAATCATATAAATAGCCAGTCATCTAGACATTAATTGTTATCATTTAAACGTGCTTGAGAGACAGGAAACCGGATCTGAATTATTCAGCCAATCACATTGAAGATGGACATTTTTGTCTCCGTTTGATTAGTAGTAAGTACGCTGACTTTCGGTTGCATTGAATCATCCGGGATTTTTTTTAGATGTGATCCTGTGACACCTCCCACCAATTCCACTTTCCAAACGTTGAACTGACCCAAGAAATCTGGGGACATCACTATAAATTATGTTTTTCTCTCCGGTGTAAATTTTACTAGGACCTTGTCTTTTCAGGATACCAAATCCATTCGTCAGTCGGCGACTGTGAATGTTGATTTAGTATCATTCTGCTGTGGATATTTCTTTATATTATTAGTTTCAATACAGATAATGCATTTTTCAAACGTCTTGCTTCAAAATGGCGGTGTTAGTGGCATAGCCAGTTTTTTCACTGGGGAGAGGGTGGGGGTTTAAGGAGACAACCTTTGAGCATGGCGTGGCGAATTTGGGATAGAACTTGCCCTCACCACCTCCGATTGCTTATACTCGCTAGATTAGATGTAAAATAGTCCGTCTTAGCTTACAGTGTGTATGTAGTAAAGACTGCATCGGGACTTCGACCAATCACAGCCGGAAGTGGCAGAGCACGTGACGGGCGATGACCAATTAGGTCAACGCATTGTACCAATTCAGTTTGTTACAGTGACCACTTCACTCGTTTTATGCATGGGCGCTGGTGCATTACCTGTAATTGCGTTGAGCTGTCTTAGCGGTGGCGGATCCGGAGGGTGGGGGAGGGGAGGGGCAAGGGGAGGGGATAACATACCCCCGTCTACTTTTGTGCCACTTTGAGCTGAAAGGAAATGAAAGCTTCAACACCTCGCAATCGCTACTGGTTGTATTTACCGCGCTTTTTTCACTTTTACAAACGAAAACAAATTGGATCATTTTTTTCCCTGAAACGTTTATAATTTTAACCCATGGGCATCACCAGACGGGGGAATGTGGAGAGAGTATGTCGCCCCCCCCCCCCGCCCCCAACCCCAATCATTACTTTTACTTTGCGTCATTCATTGAGAGCTTCGTCATGCTTGAAGTCGCATTATTTTCAATGGGCCTTAATATTCACGAGTTGGCCATTTTTGTCGAGTTCCCTGAATGTATTTCATTAATTGTTAACTGTT